ATGATACTCCACTATATTTGATGAAACTGATTAAACTTACATATTATTTTTAAATTTCAAATATTTGATTTTTATTGGTATTAATACACATGGAACTCTAATGTATGCATCAAACTTTATTAAACTTACGCATTATTTTTTTTATTTCAAATGTTTGATTTTTTGTCCTGCGGAGTATATTTTTTCACGTAGTAACTTCTGGTGCATCACACGAGTAGAATACTAGTTCGTGCTTAAAGCCCTCCACATCAAAGGAATATGGATATTTGCGTGAGACAACTTCCAAAGTCACTATCAAGGCCGGCTAGAGCAATTATGAGGCCCTAAACGGTCATGTAGAAATTTTGTTTTAAATATGTTTTATTTAACCCAATGATATAAAAAATAGCAATTAAATATAAGTAAATTACATATAAAATACATCATATACTATTAACACAGTGAGAATATTCTTCGAAATCAGAAGATCAAAGTTGATGAAAAAATACAAAGAGTCCTAGAGGGAGAAGGTTTTGTGCTTACGTACAACATACCGATCGATAGAGCCGGAAAGTGATTTCATGACCAAATCATTTCTTAATTTTTTTCTTTGTCTTTGTACATCTTGATTCATATTTTGTTTTCCAATCATCACAAAACATAAGATTTCATTCCAAATAATACTATCACTAAATATAAGTGAATGGTTCATAGATATAAATTTAATTCACTAAATTTAATCAAATATAAAAATTATAATTATGTTCAATATTTCGATGAATCAAAATAACAAATTACAATTTCAATTATTCAATAAGCATTCAAATATATTTAGAATACTCATTATCCTAAATCCCTAGCCATACTGCCCTAGCCAACAAAGAAAAAAAAGGAAAAATGGGCAAATAAGCTCACATACTAACCAAAAAGGTCAAATAAGTCCTTGTATAAGAGACTTTGTCCGGCCGTCGCCATTTTGGGCAGTTCCCGGTGGAATGTTTTGATGAAGTTTTTTGAGAATCTTATTCATTAAGTCTTGTTTACTCATACCAAATTTCAGCTAACAATTCAATGGGGACGACATTCAAATAAATTTTTGAAGATAACTGCGCTTTTAACTGCGCAGTTATCTTCAAGAATTCATTTGAATGTCTTCTCGATTGAATTTTTAGGTGAAATTTGGTATGAGTAAACTAGACATAATGAATAAGATTCTAAAAAAAAATAATCAAAAAATTCCAAAGGATACTATCCCAAATGTTGACGGCCAGACAAAGTTTCCTAAATAATATTAATAAGCTTATTTTATAAATTAGAGGCCCCTAAAATTTGGAGGCCCTAGACACTTGTCTAGGGTAACTCCCCCTATGGCCGGCCCCGGTCACTATTGTTAGTTAAATTTAAAAATGTAAAAAAAAGTTCCATACAAACTAGGAAAGGTGAATATGGATATTTGCGTGTGGGTGTTGTGTCCAGTGACAACATATGGAGAATGGGGTGGGAGGTGTTGATGTGGTGTAATGTGTACGGTGAGAAATGGGAATGAAGGGGTAGGGACTTCGGAAGTCGGAACAAACAAAAATACTGTGGGAAAGAGATGGGACTTGCAAAAAATGGGGAAGGGAATGTGACTTTTGCTAAAAAACATTGTTGCGAACGATTTGTTCAATCCGTTAAAATTGATAAAATTATAAATGAAGCGATTGCAATTTACTGAATTATAAAAAAATATATTTAAAAAATATTTTATTAATACAATAAAGAAAGAATTAGAGATTTTTCAAAACTACTACATATTACAAATATATAAAATATTTATAAAAAATTACTGAAATAAAAGTAATTTACAAAAATGACTAAAATTATTATTCATATAATGTCATTGTCACTTGATGTGAAAATTGAACATAAATTATATGACCACAGTTACTACTATAGTCACGAACTTAAAAAGTCATGTTTTCATAAACAATATTTATTTTATTCATAACTAAGCAAATATTTCAAAAACATATATGCAAAAATACCTAAATTTATCCTCTACAAATTACTATAGTCATTACTGTTGAAAAAATGTGTTAAAATTGCATTAAATGGTCATTATGGGGCAATTATTTGAGTAGGGTCCACTTACGATTTGGGTCGGGTCAAAGTGGTTTCGGATTGTCCTTGTTAAGGGCTACAATTCGATATATGTTACGCTCAAAACGGATAACGGGTGAATGAGAAATTGATTCTCGAAGTTCACTCGTTGAAATGAAAGAACTGGGAAAATGATGAGTTTCTAGTGTGTTTTATCCCACACCGGAAAACTCAAGGGATTTTCACCCCCTTATAAAGGGAAGCCTCTTTTAAGGAGTTAAGATTCTTAAAGGTAGAGGCTCTCTCTTACGCGCAGGGGGGGGTGACGATCAAATCCCGAAACGGAGAAGAAAAACTGCGACTCGTGTTCCTTTATTTTTTCCAAGCTGACAGAATCGCTCTGGTTTTGTCCGGACCAGAAGGGGTTCTGTTCTCAACAGAACTGCTCCGCTTCTGTTCGGTTCAACAAAAACCCTCGAGGTATTCTGTCCGCAACAGAAGGGCTCAATAGAAACCCTCGAGATCTTCTGTTCGCAACAGAGACGCTCGAGGTCTTCTGTTCGCAACAGAGACGTTCGAGGCCTTCTGTTCTTATCTTCAATAAATGCCCAACGTTCTTATCTTTTAATCCAACGTTAAGTGGACAGTTTATGGATGATTCAATGCCCAACGGACTGGTCATTGATGTCCAACGTTCAGGTCCATTAACACCTCATTTAACACACAACAAATCCTCCTATAAATAGTTGACAGGTGGTTTGCAACAACTTAACACACAATACATTTCTCACGTTTTCTTGAGCTAAAAACACTTCCAGCTACTCCGAAATTTCCTAAGTGTTCATACTGTGTTCCAGTTCGCCGGAACTTTCGTTTGTGTGCTCAAACGTTAGTTCGTTACCCACCGTATCCTGGGAAACGGTCGTTGCAACGCTCCTAGCACCGTGGGAGGCGACGAATACGTTTTAAGGACATCGTGCGTAGCACGAGCTCTGGCTAAAATTTGCTCCATCTTATTTCTATTTTTCTTTACCTATTTTATAAATTAATTAATTAATTTTTAATTAATATTTCTTCGTTTTTTCCGAAACACACCCAACAATTACATTTAAGAGGTCATGTTTCATAAACAATCTTTATTTTAGTCATAATTATGTAATTATTTCAGAAAATTATATGCAAAATACCTAAATTTGTCTTCTACAATAGTAGAAGGATCTATAAATTTGTGCTTCGTATTTAAGTATAACTAAAGAATGACATAACACAGTTTTAATGACCGCGTAATATCAAAGAATAAGGTAGATTTGGACAATAGGTTTGTTGTTCCGCACATCCACTATTCGTTGATGAAATATAGAGCTCATATGAACGTAGAGTGGTGTAATCGATCAAGGTCAATCAAATATTTGTTTAAGTACATAAACAAAGGGCGTGATCGGGTCACGGCGGGGTTTACCAGACAGTTGATGGTGATGCACAAAAAAAGCCGATCGATGAGATACATATGTACTATGACTGTAGATATATTTCTGCTTGCGAGGCTGTTTAATTGACACATTTTTGGGTTTGAAATTCAATATAAGACCTCGACAGTAGAACAGTTGAGTTTCCATTTGCCAGAAGAACAAAGTGTTGTCTTTCGCGATGATCAGCCACTGGATTTAGTGGTTCAGGCATGTTCGGTTAAGGATAATATGTTCACAGCATGGATGGAGGCCAATAAGAAGTACCCGGAAGCAAGACTGTTGACGTATGCAGAGTTTCCTCAGAAGTTTGTTTGTAAAAAGAATACAAGAGAGTGGGCTTCTAGAAAACAAGCATTCATTATTGGCAGAGTCTATTATGTTCATCCCGGTATCGGTGAATCTTATTGCATTTGATGTCTTTTGAATCACATTCGTGGTGCAACAGGTCATTAGGATTTGAGAACATTAAATGGTGTTACTTATGATTCTTTTCGTGATGCATGCTATGCGTTAAGATTGCTCGACGATGATAGAGAATTCATTGATGCTTTCAGTGAGGCAGGTCATTTCTCGTCTGCTAATTGTTTGAGGATTCTTTTTGTAATATTGTTATGGACAGAGTCGATGGCTCGATCGGAGTATGTTTGGCAAAAATGTTGGTTCTTCATGGCTGATGACATACAATACACGCGAAGGCGAATATTGCACCATCCAGGTGGTGACTGCCATCCCTATTTATTATTTCAATATCTTAGATATTATATATCAAGGGTTACCAATCGTTGTGGTTTGAAAATTCTAATTGTTGATGAAGATGAAGGAACCACTGACAAGACGCAGAATGTTGTATTCAAAGAAGTGTTCAACAATGTTTAGGTTACATGAAATGCATATTTACAATGTTACGGTTTCTATGTATTTGTTGGATATTTTTTATCTTTTAAGTAATGGTTAGTGCTCTCTTTTAATCATAATATTATAAGTGTGTTTAGTTCATTGCTTTGATCTATATCAGTATTCCATGGATACAGATGTTGTCATCAATTGATAGTGTAATTTGAATGAGTGAGGCAGTGAGCACAAATAAATTCTAAAGAAAAATTCTCTGACCCTGCATCGCACATTCGCACGGGTGAGCTTACTAGTATATAGAGAAATCCGGGTCTGAGTCTCTAATTTGGGCCGGACAGACACGGTTACATAAATGAACTGGTAATATAAAAGGCTAATCTAGAACATATGAATAATAATGATAATAATGTACAATACTGAAAATGCTATCAGCTAAGTGTACGTGGGCCGCTGTCCTGGCCTAATAGTCGTGAGACCCGGAGGTCCGAGTCTATATACTCTATCATACACATAGTTGACACCCTACCGGATGATGTGGCGGTGACTAGATCGTAACTTGTGAAAAGTGAAATTTGAATCTTTTATCGAATTAAGGGTACAACTTGCGAGAAGGGTATCCGAGCATATTTGACTTTTAGCCTTTCTTTTTATAGGGAGATTGACAAAAGATAATGCAATGCCTCAATACCCCTGCCACATACAAAAGATGAAACATAAAATTAATATAATCTCTATTTTACAGGGAGAAGATGTGTGTACACTACAAGAATATGAGTCCTAGCTGTACAAAGATTTGATATGATTAATTAGTTGGATCTTTTCTATTTCTACAACTCTATTATCATCCTCCTATCCATTTCTCTTCCATTTCCTTCATGAGAAGTTGATCCAACAGCATAGCAGTGTTTTCCTTCTCCCCAGTTATTGTTTCAGGTTGTTGCTGTTGGGCGTTTGGTTTTCCTTGTGCTGCTTCTCTCTTCTCCAAAGGTTTTGTAGGCTCCTCCTCCTCCTTTTCCTCCCCGTTTGCTTTATTAACATTAAGACTTCCAGTGATTTGAGTGTTTTCTTCCTCAGTATCATTCCTGACTTTTTCAGTATATCCCTCTAGAACATTTTCTTCTATTCCTTTCTCGGGTTTGTCAGAGTTGTTTTCTTCTTCAGGTTTCGGTTCTGTCTTGTCATTTTGAGGAAAATAAGGGTTTAGGGTATTTTCTTCTTTGGAAATCTGTTCTGTTTTCTCGTCTGAAGGTACTACCTCAGACATCAAAGGGTGTTCAACCTGTTTTTCCTCAATTTCTTTCTCCATAGTAGTCTTATTGTGGTCACTGGTGGGCTCTTCGGAAGGCTGATCTTCTTCTGTTTTCTTCTCGGCAGTCTCAAGATTTGCAGAGTTGTTTACTGTGGACTTGTGTTCAGTTTTCTCAGAAACCCCAGAAAGAACCTCGGGTTCTAAGGCGTTTTCAGCAGATTTCTGACATTTTTCCTTCGGAGAAGAAGTCTCAGGTTTCGGGATATTCTCCAGATGGCTTTCGTCATCAGTCTTCTTCTCCTCTGTGATAGTTTCTGGTTTCATCAGGGTGATAATTTCTGCAACATTCTCGTAAAGTTTCTTTCCCGAGATGGTTTCATTAGGAATGATTGTGTTTTGGGCCAAATTGTCATCATCCATTGCTGTTTTGAATTCTTGTGATGGGATTTTCTCTGTTTTTGGAGACACTTGTTGTGACTGTTTGTCAGAGGAGTCCATTAAAACTGAATGTTGTGTTTGTTCTTCTTCAGAATTTGGCTGTTGGGGTTCCTGAACTTCAGGCGTATTCCATGTGGATGGTTCACATGCTTTCTCCTTCACCGATTCTGAGCTTTTCGTGTTCTGTGCAGTCAAATAGATCGGTGCTCGGTATGGTTTGGAGAGCTGTTGACAATCACACGAAACAAATAAACAATGTTCAAAATATTTAGAGAAAGTAAAGGGAAAGAATAACACATTTTGTTTTATCAAGTCTTTTAGTCCTTCTAAGTGAAGTATAACACATTTTGTTTTAAAATCATTATTATTAAAACTGAATGTTGTGCTACTTTCTTTTAGTCCCTCTCTAACTTTGACATCATCTCAATTTAGAAAAATTAATGTTAGATCTACAAAACATTTGAAAAGTTTCAAAATGCCCCAATAAACAATACGGAATATTTGGAAAGAATATCACATTAAAAAATTGGATTAATACAGTAGTAAGAAAATAGAATTGATTTAAGAATTTAATTGATAAATTTTATAGGAATTATAGCCAAGTAAAACAGTTCCAAAATGCAACAAATTCATACTACCTTCGTTCTTAAATAAATTTAACAAATGAAATTTAGCACTATTCATATATTCTAAAATATAAGTAGTAATTTATTGTTACATCCTAAAATATATTTTTTTGAAAGCATCCTAATTTTTTTTGGAAGGCATCCTAAAATATATTCCTACATTTGTTTCATCCTAAATTTTAAAAATCTGAGTTTTTTAAATTTTTTTTAAAAGAGATTTGGATAGAGTAATGATCAAAGTTGTGCAACAAACTTGAAAAATTGAAGGGAAAATTATTATTAGCTCCCTGAGGTGATATCATAATTATTAATGCAACCATGCATTTTCAAAAATCAATTAGTCACCCCCTAAGTTTTGATCATTCTCACTATATACCCATCATGTGAATATTTGTTAAATTAAATTTTAATATACCTCTTAAATTCAATGAAAGTTGAATTTAAAATTAATTTTTAAAATATAAAACAATTTATCATCATAATTATAAGTCATTGCTAATGATCATTTGTTTTTCTACTTAACTACTCGATCGTGAAGTAACAATTAATGAGAGTAGTTAAGGGGAAAACTCACAAGTCATATTCATGGGATACATAAAAAGAATTGTTTATAAAATGAGTTGTCAAAATTCTAGGCATTTCTTCATTATGAATATACAAGTCTTATTTTTAATTCATTCGGTTGAATTAATCGCAATGACATTTCTTTCGTGTGTAGCAAAGAAGAAATACCAAGATTTTTTTTTTATCATTCCATGACATAAAATATAGGTTTAGTATCAATAAGGGACCTAAAAAACAGAATGTGATGATTATTCCAATTATTCCATAATCTGAATAATTGAAAACTAATAATCTAAGATCTAAAATATCATAGATTTTAATTTATTTAAAAATTTTATTAACTACGATCAACAACAATGACTTATAATTATGATACTAATTTGTGTTTTACATTAAAAATTAATTTTATAGACATTTTTCATTGAATTTAGGAATTATATTAGATTTAAATTTTAACAAATATTAACGTGAGGGGGGCAAAGAACGAAAATGATCCAAACTCAGAGGGATAAGTAATTGATTTTTGAAAATGCAAGATTACATTAATAACTAGAGTTAATTATCAAAATAGGACTAAAAGTCATTCACTTTTCACAAATAGGACCAAAAAATAAACTATGTTTGCATAGGACTAATTATGTGTACCTTGGACAATTATACCCTTATAGCTATTAAAATGTTTTAATTCCTAATAAAAAATAAAAAATAATAAAAATTCAAAAAATAAAAAATAATAAAATTTAATTATTTTTTTTTTCAAAAAATTAAAAACATTAAAAAAAATTAAAAAAAATAAAAACTCAAAAAAAAAATCGCCACCGCCTCTGCCGCCTCAGCACCACCACCTCCAGTCATCAGGGAAAAAAATGCCAAGTTCATTACGAATGCCATATTTATGGCAGAAAAAATGAAAATGTTGGCATTCGAAAAGAGAAATATGCCACTTTTTTGGCATTTTCAGAAAAAAAAAATGGCATTTTTCTGGGAAAATGGCATTTTTTCATCGCCCGGAGGTGGTGGTGCTGGGAGGTAGTACAGGCGGTGGGAAAGGCATCCATATTTTTTTAAATTTTTTTTACGGAGTTTTACTATTTTTTATTAATTTTTTAAAAAATAAAATTATTTAAAAAAAATTTGAATTTTTTATTTTATAAAAATTTTATAAATTTTTTAATTATATTTCTACGAATTTTTGAATTTTTTTCGAATTTATTATGAATTAAACATTTAATTATGGCTTTTGACTATTTTTAATTCATATTTAATGAAAGGGTAAGAATGGAATGCAAAAATAGGTATGTTTCCAATAGGACTCATATGTTCCTATTTTGGAATAAAAACATAACAAATTCTATTTTAGGTTTTTGCTATAATTTTAGTCCTATTTGAACTAATTTCTATAATAACTATGACGTAACCTCGGGGTTAACGGTAAATTTCCCAAAATTGAATGGTACAAACGCGTGAGATTCTAAGGCACCTCCGTCAAAATGGTGCTGGGATAACGGCGCTTGGTAGCATTCTCCGCGTCCGTCGACAGCTTCTTTTCGGCAACCACCGTACTATCGGCGGCGGCGAAGACCTCCTTGTTTTGCGGCTCCGGAGATATGGCTGAGACGTCATCATCCTTTAGAACCCTAGGCTTGGACGCACACCCTCCCATAACTAATTTCGGATCTCTCGATGTAGGTACGTATATGAAATTATATGTATATTTGAATACTATATGATTATTTGTTGTGACGGGAGAGCAGCGGGAGGGTGGCGATGGACGACAGAAAAGAGTGTCCCCTCTGGCCTGGGTGTTTAATTAATTGGACATAGAGAGGGAGATTCAATGGAGGGCGAGAGTAAATTGTGGTACTCCGCTCATTCTTCTTCTGCAATACACTCAGAACGTGTATTGAAAAAGCAGCCATTTATAATTATGAGGTTTTAATTTATTCCAATTTCTAATTCACTTCTAAATTATTCAGAACGTACAATTAGGTGAACTAATTAAAAATAAATTGTAGGTTTAGATTCAAATTTCACTGACAAATGTCCTTGGTCCCTGCCGTGTCTGGCCTGATTATAAGTTTTTACTATCTGCAGCCCCCACCTCCCCCGCCATCTATTTAGCAATGCATCTTATTTAGATTGGTTACAGACTCCCTAACATTATCAAGTTTGGTATTAGTATAAGACCAATTTAATGAAACAAATCAAAGAGAAATTATTGAGCAATCTCAACGAGTATGGAATACTTGGAACACTTTTGAAATCCAGCCCCGTGTGGTGTTTGTTCCTTTATTTTCATTTCAAACAAATATACGCAGTATTACATTTGTGTTGTAGAAGTGTGTATGCAATCTCATTCAAAGACCTATTTAATAATAGGTAGAATAAGAGTTTACAGGGTAAACCAGATGAGCTTAATAGCTCGGTGTGTTTTTAACTCTAAATACTTATTCTATCTATCATAATAACACATTACAATTAAGGCGGACAGGAGACGACCTCTATGGTCTAGGGTTTTTGGTGACTCACAAGGCTAGGTAGTACGCAAGCTTTCAGCAAAGGATCTAGGCGGCTTGAGGTCGGCATCAACACAAAGTTTATCTTTATGGCGGACAGAAGACCTCTAGATGGCCTGGAGGTCGCCTTGATGAGGCACACTTACTAGTATTTTTCTTTGAATTTTTTGAACACTTTTGGAAATCGGAGTTATTGTTCATCGTCTTCCTCGCTATGACGATTTTAAAGTGCATTAGGTGTCGGGTCCCTCTTGTGATAACGTAATTTAAGCACATGACTTTCTTTGTTAAGAAAAGAAACACATGTCCCTATCTGAAATGAGCCCAACCATAGATACCTTTTTCAGTATTTTACCCCAAAAAATTATATAATACGTCGTAAAAAGATTCATTATTTTTTGGCTTGAGATTATGATGGAATAAAGAAAAATGATTCACTAAACTGTCGGCGCTTCTTTGTTATGGAGCAGCGGTCAGTCCATGCAATTTTGGACGCGATTTTCACTATGGGTCATCCGGAAACAGTCTCTCTGTGCTTTAGCACAGGGGTAAGACTGCGTACATCCGAACCCCCTTACCCCTTACCGTAGGTGGGAACCTTTGCGGCACTGGGGTAAATGAAAATGAAAATGTCGTAAAAAAGTGGAAAATAGTTTAATACATGCATCCACTAATTTTTAGCTTTTTTTTTACAAATGCAAAAAAATTAACTATTATACTACGTAAATAAGATCATGGTTCAAATACAACGCAATACTAATAGAAGGAAAATTACTCCAAATCTAAGAGCCAAACGTCGAAACAGCCACCCTAGCTAGGCTATGGGCAACTTGATTCGTTGAATGTCTTACATGAGAGAGTTTTTATTTGGGGCCCGGAAAGAACCACACTTGGTGGGGGAGTGCCGGGGAACACTTCCCGAATTTATTAATAAAAATTACATGAGAGAAAGTAATGCTAGGAAAATGAGTAGCAAAGTCTCTAATATCACCAACAATAAGTCCAAATGACGCCTCATTCGAGCCACCAGTCTGAATACTCTGGACAAGTTGCAAAGAGTCTGATCCCCGGCCACCTCGATCTGATTCCACTTCATATCCTTTAACCAGCTTAGTGCCTCCCTCATAGAAAGAGCTCCGACCTCGCTAGGAAGATACTCCCCTGCTTTCTACACAACTCCTCCCGCCAAAAAAGCTCCTTCGCTATCCCGAAGAACACAGCCAAGCCCTCTCACGCCCCTCCCTAACCTCACTGTCGCGTCCACATTCAATTTGGTTATTCCACTACATGGTTTCACACTTTCACCCATGCATGAGTTGTTGCTGCTAACATTGCTGCTCTAGGTTAGAATTGGGCTCTTTGCCATCCTTCCAGGTAAGCTTCAGCCTATGCCCTCACTACCTGCACTAAAGAAAGTTGCCTTCCATTCCAAAGAATTGCATTCCGCTCCTTCCTCAGACTCCACAATATACTTCACAAACCTGGTGCAAACACATCATCTCTACTGATGAAGTCTGTCTCCACCCAATATGTAAATGATAGCCCCTCTCCATCTGGCATGCTCCAGCCAAGAGATGCCCTCAGACCCTTCACAGACTGAACAAGTGCAACTCGCTTTCATTGTCTTATGTACACAGGCAACACAAAGACGAGCAAACAACCTTCTTCGCCATCACATGGTGAGCGCCTTCCGGTTGTTGCACACGCTGAAAAATTGGTACGAAACTTATATAAAATATATTGTATGGTTTGACATTTTTAATTTAAATTTTAACTAATTTATTATTATTAGGCTGAAATTTTGAAACATTAACCGTTAAAGATTAAGGTATATGAAAAAGTTTATGTGCCTAAAACGGGTGATCCTCCGAGAGTTGTTAATGTTTGGGTGAGTTAATACAACCTTAAATTGTAAAATACGCCGTAGTATTTTTATATCTGTACATAGTGTGAAGTTGTTGTTTTGATAGGCCAAGTACAAGGAACTTAAATCGCAAGCTGCGACGAAGGGCCAGTCATATGAAGTATAGATGACACAGAGTTGTGGACTAAAACAGTTCCGAGATAAAAGGATCGTCTTTACGGAGCGGGCTGTCAAGCTAAAACTATGTCTGGTAGTGTTGGTTATTCTAGCGAGGTTGTGGTACCAAGTCAAGAAGATTTAAATGTTGTGAAGGCCGGTTTGCAGGGAAAAGAGGCCCGCCTTAAGGCCTCTGAGGAACAATGGCAGGTGAATCAACAACAATGGCAGACACTGATAACGACTATGACCGGGGCATTTAACGCTTTCATCGTGATACCCCAACAACCTACTACGCTCAATTATGAGGCTCCAGAAAATGATCAAAATGTTGATCATAATTATGATTAATGACCAGTGATGTACTTCGTATGCAGTTTGCGGTCTCTAATGTGTTAGGGAACACAAAACATGTCAATTGAACGACGCTTCAATATCTTCGAATGTTGTCAGGGGAGAAAAGTAACACTATAATTGTTAAGGATAGCTAGATTCAACGTCATTATGATGAAAATTGAAAAGTTACTCTTGGGGGAGCCAAATTAGTATATGTATAACTGATTTTTTTCTACGGATGGCCACGACTCCTTGAACCTATATGAAAATCTTCCCATGGACCCTTGATTTTTGTCACTCAAAGGAGCAAAGATCAAAGTCAAAATGAGAGTGTTTTTTAGCCTTTTAGGGGGTGTTTGGAACTGATTCTGCTTGTGCTTTTCTTTAAAAGTAGAAGCAAAATTAGAATCAACTTTTCAGAAGCTGGTGTCTCCCAACTTCTAAAAAACTACTTTTAGGAGTAATTTGGAACACTCATAAGTGCTTCTGCACTTTCACCCAAACACTCCAATATACTACCTCCGTCCCACTATGATTGTCCCATTTTACCTTATCGGTCCGTCCCACTAAGATTGTCCCATACCAAATTTGGTAAAGTTTGTGTGGCTTTAAACCATTCTTACTTTATTCTTACTTTATCAATTCAATATCAACCACATAAACCACTTTTTATTAATTTGCGTTCCTCTCCCTCTTGTTCCATTGTTAGCGGGACGGAGGGAGTATGTTTTTGCTCCCTGAAAGAGCAGAAAGAATTTTAAGAAGCAGATCCAATCGCCCCCTTAAGCTTCAAACCTTGTCCCTGCTTTGAGGCTTTCATAGCGATTGGTGACTTATCACACATCTTGTTACACTATAAATAGCTCTTTTGGTATGCTTGACATGTTATATTGAAGCTGGTGTAGGGTATCTGGGCACCTATTTATGCGATCGAAGATTTGGCCCTCAAGCTGAGAAACTTTACTGCGGAGTACGTCAAGCTTGTAAAGGTATACTTTCTGACATTTTATAATGGGAAGTACACCATATAATCCTTTAACAAAATCAAAATTTTAAAATCTATATAAGCCATAGATCTTATTTGGTTTCAACTTTCAAATTTCGAATTCTTAACTTTGTATTTTCTCAATTGAAATAAGTTAATCAGGATGGAAAGATTTGCTTAAGTGATTTAAGTAAGGTTTATTTTTCAACAATGATCTTTCTATAATTTATACACACATATATAATCCAATTAGGTTGGAATTTAACAGAGAAATTATAATTTCACTCATACACTAATTTCACCAAACAGGAGGTTTCCCATTAGTAATGTGTTAAAATTTTCTTTTCTTATTAAAGTCACCTTTTTATTCAATGTTCCATCTCTATTAACATCAAATTTTCATCATATGTTTGATGAATTATTTTATTTGAATTTCTATGAGAACAGCTATTCATAATATTACAATCTATAGGATAAATTAAGTTCAACTAGTCTTGCATAAATCTGCTTCAGCTTCTCTTAAGAATGCCTAAAAATCCGCATAAGATTAAGCAACTTGTGAATCTCTAATATAACTTTAGTATAATACTCTCGTACATGTATAGTTTTTATGTGTGAATCCATACTATGGATAGATATGGTAATGTTCATATGTAGGAGTTTAAAAAACAATATGAATTCATAATCGGGTAGCGTGTGAGCATTTCGAGTTGAGTATGTATACTTTGACTTGATATGGTTAGGGGTTAGTTGAGTTACGTTTGAGAGCCTGTTTGGTAACACTGAAATCGACTGAATTGGATGATTCCACTGAAGTTTTATCAAGTTTAAAAGGTAACACTGAAATCGACTGACTTATGAAGTTTTGGTTGAAGTGATTGTATTGGCTAATTTATGAAAAAATTAAATTTAAAATTTATATTATTATTAAAATAGAGAAAAAATTATACTCCCTCCGTCCCGTTGGACTTTGCCAACTTTGTCTTTTTTGTTGTCCTAAAAAACTGTCACTTTTCCAATAAAGTAACTATTTTGTTGTTCTACTCATTTCTCTCTCCTCTGCACAAACTTCAACCACATAATTTTTACTATTCTTATTTCTCCCCTAATTCAAAAGGTACAAAGTCTATCGGGATGGAGGTAGTATGTAAAATAGCTAAAATGATCCTCTACAGTAAGTAACTTTAGTCGATATAGCCAGAAAAGTAACTCTCACCTTACCTTTTCTTATTATTACACATTTCAGTGCGCGAAATCAAAAATTACGTGTTTGGAGAAAAAGGTTGTTTATAAGCCTGATAAGCCAAAAACAGTGTTACCAAACGGGCTCTAGTATATTTTGAATCCAGTCGAACTTGATTGAAATAAAAACCAACAAGTTGACCCCGAATAACTTGCAAAATGGCTTGCTTGATTGGCAACCTAAATTGCATCAATAGTGACTATTTGTCATATTCTTTGTGCTATTTGTTTTTTTGAATTACCACTTTATATGTTTAATGCTGATCTTTATTATTAAGAATTTTGAAACTGATATTTTGACAATAGATGGAGAAAACAATTAGATAAAATTATAGTATTGAAATAAGAGAACAAAGGCACAGAGCATCCGTGTATGGCGGGCCAAGCACACTCAAGAATTTGCACGGTTTATTAAATTATTTTGATTGGGCGGAATTTTAGTTTCCATGCCACCATTGTTATTGTCCTCCTCATTCTTGGCGAAGTCATCACCGTTCTCAATGTCAACCTTTGTGACCGCTCCCAATTTATGCTCCTCAGCCTTTCCCCATAAAACACTATATAGTCCTCCCACCAGCAAAACTCCTCCTAGAATGCTGTTTTGGTATGTAGAAATAAAGTGTAACCATATAATAATTGCATTTAAAGACTATAAATGAAATGAAATGTACACAAAGATACTTGCATTTAAATAATTTTACCTTCCCAAACTCACAATCTCTCCCAAAAGGACAGCTGAAATGGCTATGGTGATGATCAAAGACAAAGGTGTAGTCATGGCCAAGAAAAGTGCACCTTTCTTCTCAACTACCCAGGCTTGCAAATAAAATGTCAATCCTGTCACTACCACTCCCTGCCAAGTAGGTGGGTTCACCACTTAACTTAATTACTACAGTTTCTAAATGTTTATCTTCAGAATTAATATTGACTTCCAAATAATAAGAAGCTAGCTAGAATTACTCACACAATAAATAATGGACAGAAGTTTGATATTCCATCCAAGCTGCCACTCCACCGGATTTCTCACCAACGCAATGGCTATCACAAATGATTGTATGGTGCTCAAACCGCATTGAAGAGCTGTGCTTAGAAGCTTGCAATCATACACCTTCACAATATGCCCCTAATGCATTTTAAGACTAAAAAATTAGAGACAATTAGTTTCAATCAATGTCCTAACTCCTAATCATTAGGATATAAATATTGAATTTGAGGTTGATGTAAATGGTTCTTCAAATCTTAATGGGTCATGACTTTCACTGATAGGCAATTCAAAGATCTTTCAAATGATTTAAGAACCAACTTTCAAAGAGGAAAGTTCACTTGGGTTGAAAAAGATTAAAAGTCCATTCACCCCTTAAACATCTTACCCCTATCTAAGACCATCACAGAGGCTATAGTTCAAATGGAAACAGACACCGCTATGCTCAAACTTGGATGGAATAGATATTTTATCATGATGGCTCCAAGATCCGTGATCGAGTTTGAAGCTGGCTTATTATACTTTGCTGGTGTGGAACAGACCTTTCAATGAGAATTTTGCAGATTTAATCACATAACTTTTGCAAGTGCTCGATATTAGTGTTGTAACGTAACTTTGCTTACTTGCAAATAATGTCCTATATAACTAATAAATAAATTTTTTTCGCATCTGGAAATTCTCCACCAGAATGTGTTCCATGTAATTTTCTAGCGAAAGTAATTCTTTCCTGTAGAAGTCTTTAATTTATCATACTTCAACCCTCGCTAAGTTCAAACTCCATAGGACAACTTGAGGGTGATTAAATAGGTGAAACTAGAGGCTACTCTATATCATGTGAGCCAAATAGACATTCAAATTATTATAACTTAATATGACTCTGATATCGTACTAAGACTTTGTGATGCATACTAAATGGTTAACAAGGAATACCCTATGAACTTATAAATATGATTAAACATTTTATACTTTGCTAGAGTGAGAGCATGAGTACTTAATCAACATAGATGAGTTTAGTTAGTTTGGTTCTTGATCGAGCTCGAGCTTGAATATTTCAAATCATGAAATCGTTTAAGAGCCCGATCGACCTACGTACCTGTACGACAATCCATAAGCTCCAACAAGCGTTAGCTAGGAGCATAAGAAAGACACCCTTGACCCATGTGTTGCCAGAAGCAGCATTTTGTTGATGTTGTTGGTCATGGTGGCTGATAAGGTGGTGATGTAAAAGTAGCTTTAGGGTAGGTCCGTTGTAGAAGGCGATGGTTGCAGCTCCCCCTGTGCATAGAGCTACCCCCAATACCTTTGCCAGCCCACCAACCGATCTAAGGTTCACCGTTTCCATCCTGCATTGTGTTTAATTCATGGTTATTTTGAGGGTAGTTATTGTTCATTATATAATTATAAATAAAAACTTTGAGATGCATTTCACAATTAGTTAATTTTACTTTATGACTAGTTTTTTTTTAGATTTGTTTTTGTCAAATAAATGGACCAGCTAGAGTTTCATCAACAATTCAAACTTATTTAATTAGTAAGTTTCAATGATTAAGAAGCTTCTCAAATTTTTATATTAAGTTACTTGCACTTTTTTTACTATTTTCTACTTTAAAAAATTAAAAAAAAAAAGAAACTTAAAAGTGATAACCTTATTATAAGTTAGTAATAATTACTTTATTACCCGGCAGATGACTTATGTAGGAGTGGTCACGGTTGGTTAGCCGTATTTCGGTTAACCAACTTATGGTTAAGCGAGATATCGGTTAGTATATTTATAATACCATTAATCATACCATAACGACGATTGACCGGGTAAACAATTAACCATAATATAGATCACTTGACATAGTAGTATTAAGCCTCTATCTTCAGTTTTTTGTCACCCAGTAAATTACATTTACGTATACGGATTGCAATTTGCAAAGTTATTTTTAAAAGAGACCACAGACTATTATTGTTTCCAAAATAATGATGACTTGAAGCAGTAGTATAGTGTATACGTAGTATAATTTATGCTTGTACACGGATGTGCTGTATTATTTAACTTTAAAAAAATTGATTTGAAATATGCAATTTCCAAAGTTGAGAAAATTGCCTGAATTCTGGTTTGACTAATCCGTGAATAAGTCAATTTTGAACTTCAAATGAAATTGTAATCTAGAGTTTGAACGTAAAATTAATTAATAAATCTAAATTGCAATACAATATTTGCAGTTTGCAAATAGATCATTAGTTCATATTGAATAAAACTCCTATTATGTACAATACGCACTTACCAAAAAGTTTTAGGAATTCACATTGGATTTCTTAAATGGAAATGAACAATAATATATGAATTCTGTAGTAATATACTACGTATTAATTTTGAGTTCTCGGCTGGCTAATTGGCGGTATTTGGTTTCATAACCGTTACCGTACCGTTAACCACATTTTCTATCGGTTGGTTAACCGTTCCGCTAGATTTTAAAAACACGGTATGGTTAACCAAGAAAAGTACCGGTGTTGCGGTTATTTACCACGGTTAGTCGGTTACGGTTTTTCTTGCCCACCCCTAGACTTATAAGTCATGAATTAGTTGATGATCTTGTTTTGCCAAACAAAATGTAGCATTAAAGACAACATGCATCTGCATCTAAATATCCAATTGCTCATTTTTGTTTGGAAACCAAATTATAACTTCCTTACTAGGATCAATTTTCAGTACATGAGCAATGTACTCGGGGGGATTCCCACCCAAATAGGTCTGAACATGCATCTCTTGTAAGTGTGTGGACTACGTGGTTTTCTGATCGGTGTACAAATATCAAATTGCTCATTTCGTACACCGAAAGGAATATACAATGAAAATAGGAAAAAAATATACAATGAATAGAACTTGAGATCTATAGGCAGGAAAACAATAAGGGAGAATTTGAGTTCTATTGGTAAGTAGGCTAAAGTTACTCGCAATATAGTTTTATCGAGGTCTATAAATAATGATGTTCAATAAAAATGATAAATTTAAGAATATAGTTGAAATAAGGATGTTAACGGTCAAAATATGGAATTGGATTTTGGCCCACACTTTTGGGCTTTTGGCCAATTCATGTCTAATTATTAACAAATGAAAAGGTAAATAACATTAGACCAAGTATTTCCTTCCTCGATTTGAAGGGGTATGATCTAAGTTCCTTTTTATACTTCTTGAAAATTCCGCCAGTGAGAAAAGGACATGAAAGAAACAGAACTCCTACCTAACACAATGAAAATATCATGAGATAATAAGTTTAGTGACATTCAGGCGATATTTATTATCATTAATGTCAGTATTTTTCAATTATGACAGTAATGACTCCTATTTCGGGAATATCTATAGTTGTCCTATTTTCGAATTCATAAACTCGTTTACTCCTATTTAGGGCAATTTCCCATTGTTTGCTTTTTCTTTTAAGAAATTAAATTTCCTAAAATAAGAGAAAACAATTGGACACTCTAAAATAGGAATATTTTGTGTTTTTATAAACAGAAATAAATTATTGATATTCTAAAATCATACTATCACATATCGGTATTATCATACTCCTACTAATTATTCTTATATAGGATGAATGTGTGGGTTCTCTCCAACACACCGCTAAAAAGGGGTAAAGTAAATAAAAGCTAAATTGAAAAAATAGAAGTATAAATTTTAATTTTTCAAAATATGAGTATATCTGCCTATTCTATGTACCCTTGCCTTGCATAATAGGATTTGTTTATTATACTAACAAAAAAATGTGAAAGATAAATAAACAATATGCGGGCATACCTCAACCGCCTCCTCAATCACCTTCCAGTATTAACAACTCCGATCATCGGGAAATTATGCTAACATATAAAAATAATGTGTTCTTGGTGGCAGTTTGAGAGAAAAAATGATATTTTCAAAGAGTAGTAATGCCACTTTCATGAGATTTTGGCGTTTGAAGGTGGCGGTGCTGATGCAACAACATAGACCCACAATTTTTTTATGTGTTTAAATTTTTTATTTTTTATTTTTACTTTCTAATTTAATATTTACTTTTTTTGTGTTTTGTCTATTAATTTATAAATAATATTTTTTATTTTAATTTATTTTTATAAATAAAAATGTGATTGTGTACTGAATAAAATAAATCCTATATTTATTTTTTGAGAAAAAAAATAAATCCTATTATGATTATACTTTTATAGGAGAATAAAATAAAAAAACAGTAGTCGTTTTTAGATTTTGGAGATGAAAAATGGATCACGGCATAAAAAGCAACCTTGGAATCTGCTGAACCTTGATACCACTGATTATGGGTATGTAAGCTACTCGATCTTATACATCCAAACGTCACAAAGGATACGGGTAGGGATGTGAGAGGTTATGGTCTTGCGTTTATTTTCTTCAAAAATTTATAAGGAAATCAAAATGTTCACTAAACTCGACTAGACCAGATTAGGCTAGACATTTGTAGTTATAAAATACACATAGATCAAATGTTTACCAAACAAGACCAGACAAGTTCAGATCAGACCAAATCAAACCAAACCAAATTAGACTAGACCAGATCAACAAATTTCAATCTTAAAGAAAACATCCTAACACTAACTTCTCCCAGAAAAATAACACAAACCTTACTTATTTTGATTATTTTAATTATTATACAATCTATAATAAGTTCATCCAATTTCATATTAGGTCGACGGTAGATGAATTGTATATTAATCAAAATAAGTAAAGTTGAAGTTATTTTTCTAATTGAATTGGCTGAAGTTGTTGTTGATGAACATTTTAGCTATTTTCGAAGAACTTTTGCTTTTTTATTAATGAAATATATTTGAATATAATGTTTTCATACTAATCAAATTCAATCAATTTAGTCAGAAAAGTAAATCTCATCTTACATATTTTGATTAATATACAACTCATTTACCGCAGACACAATAAAGCAAAAGTTAATAAAATGTTCATCTAACTAGATAAAACTTAAAAAATGAACTTTAAAACCCGATCCAAATGTATTTTTAATTTTTTGTTTTTATATATGCAATATTGGTGTCAAATGAAAGATAATAAAAAATTATGAATTTTGATATATTTCCTGTAAAAATCAGATTACAGATAAACAAGTTATATCACTCTAAATAAACGGAGAGATTTATATTACAATTTGGGACCCACTAACTTGATAATATTTGATGTCTTTCCTTGCTTTCTTACGGTTCGGCGATTGAAGAGAGAGTGCCAATTGAACTGTCGGGCTCCGTTAATCAAGGTTTATTCTATCATTATTTTAGGAATTATTTCTAACTTAATTTTATTTTGGGAATTATTTATATAGAAATTGTTCTAAATAGGATTAAAAATGTTTTGAAATTCCAAAATAAGAGTATCATGTTTTCTATTCTCTGAATAGGAGTAATCTGTCAAGTTTGGAAAAAATGCCTTGTTTTTGAGTCTAGTAATGTCAAACTTGGCAGAAATTTACTCCTATTCAAGGAATAAAAAACATGATACTCCTATTTTAGAATTTCAAAACTTTTTTACTCTTATTTAGGGAATTATCTCTTATTTATATAACTAACATTATTTCTGGAAAAAACTCTAGTTTTTTAGTTATTAAATTCACATGAAATTTGAAGTTCTTATGCATTATAAAATTATTTTTAACTAACAAAATTTTAATTTCCTATAATTTCCATATTTTAAATATTTTTGTATCAAAAAATATCATTAGTAAAACTTCAATATATTTGACTCATAAAAGTCAACATGATGAAGATGTGTAGGAGAGAGTGAGTATGCCGGATAATGAAAGGGAAATAATTAGGGGTGAGCAAATAACCGATTTAACCGACCGGACCGAAAACCAATGACCGAACTGATCGAAATGCTCACCAGTAAAGAAATTGCCCAAAATAGGAGCAAATGAGATTTGGAATTCCAAAGTAGGACTAGTATGTTTTTCATCCCGAAATAGGAGTTGTTACTATCATGCATGAAAAATACTATCATGATTGAAAAATACTCCATTAATTATAATAAATATTGTCATGTTAAATGCACTGTATTGCAACTATTTTGCAGTCACGTCTACAAATATAGCAGTCATAATTTGGAATTTCAAACTCCAGTTACTCCTCTTTTGAGAAATCTCCCATGATGAAAGTGTTTAGCTACTGTACTAAAATAAATATCTCGACAACCTAGGTCAAATATAGATCCAAAATATAGTTATGGACGTTTATAAATTCCTTTTATAGGAGAAGTTGACTAACTTTAGGTTACAGAGAAGCTAATAGGCTGATATTACATGTTTAACCAATAACTACACAAGCCGATTCTATCATCTATCCAAAAACCACTGAAAAAGTTACTTAGTGTGGTTTTTCTGTGTGTTTTCGTAGTACAAAACTAAATCGAAAAATGGATTACTAAACACTTCATAAAATTGTTTGATTCAATATAAAACCAATCCATCAAGTTAAAAAATAATTGATAGACATTTTACTACACACGCGTCACACCTGTGTTATGTTACGTGAATAACATAACGAAGGGACGACCATATTTTTAGTGACACATTTTTATCGAACAGGAGTTTAAGGGTATATTTGCGAGTTTAAAGGAAAGCAGAGAATATTTTGGAGGTATGTTGTTGGAGAGAAAAGAGAGAAGATGATGAGAAAGCTCTTCTTTGTATTTGGAAGTAATAAATTTGAAAGAAGAGAATTTTCAATGAATTATGATAAAACTGATTTTGAAATATGATGAATTCAAATAATTGAACTGATGTTTATTTTTAATTGAGTTTAAATTACTATTTCATTAATTATTCTTCAAAACCCTCCAAATTGAGGGAACTCAAAAGTTGAGCATTTAGAGGGTAGATGGCTTTGGAAATATCCGACTTAAAAATATCCGAAATATCCGATTTAAAATATCAAAGGGTCGGGCCTAGTCTTTAAATTAAAAAACTCGAACGGGTTAAGGGTCCACATACCCGACCCGCCCGAACCCGACCCGTCCACATTTAATTCTGAATTTTAATTTTTGAGTCAAACTTTTTTAACTTTGACCCTTAATTATTCAAAACTTACATAGTTTATCACAAAAAGTTAATTTCATATACGGCAGTATTCAAATGTTATATTCAAATGTTAATTTATTATAGATTTTATAAGTATACATAAATTTATAGATATTTAGAGTCAAATTGAGAATTTAGTTGTAAGACGAAAGAGGCTCTAAATTTTGCATAACTTTCTCTTAGCTAAATCAAAGAACATGGTCAGGTCAAAAAATATTATGAACAAAAAGTGAGATCTTTGTAACAGTCATATTTAGGAAACTTGGTTCGATCTAGTTATGGGTGTGTGTTGTGGGTGTTGTCAATTATTCCATTCGATGTACTCCCACGCTTCATTTTGTTTTGTTTTGTTCTAAATTAGTGTTTCAATTTTCTATTTTCGAAAGAGTAAAGTACACCTGTAATAGATCAATAATAATAACTTTATTGTTGTTATTGGAGATTTTTCCAAATAAAGTGATTTTGATTATACTTTTATATATAGTCACTCTAATATACAATTTGAACATAATTTAATTCACTTGAAATTACTACGCGCGTATTAATTTATATTTTTTCCATATCTTTATTTCGGTTATATGTTAGGTATTATGGATATTATCATCAAAGTTATTATGGATGTTAGGTATTATGGATATTACTATCAATACTTCTTCTTTTAATTAAATAGAGTTTCTAGCTACTTTGAATTTCACACAATCTAATAGGAGTATCAAATTTGAAATTTACTATTACCAATGGTATATAATAAATTATTAAAACAAATTACTGAATTAGATGTAACAGTATTTACGTTTCACAAATTATATGATTTTCACCGTTAAAGGACTAAATGACTAAATTTTAGCAACTTTAAGAATCTAGGATGTTTTTACTTGGACTGTAATTTGCTGGTCTGGTCTGGTCTGGTATGAACTGGTCTGATCTGGTTTCTTTGTATTTTTATAACTATCCAAGTCTGGTTTGGTCTGAACTAGTCTGGTCTGATCCGATCTGGTATGGTCTGGGAGGAATTACAGTCCAAGTAAAAACATCCCTACTCCTCAAATAAAAACTCCATTGGCCAGGTGTATGCTATATTCATTTTCTCACTTCTATATTTAATTTATTCAAATTCTACAACTAATCAAATTAAACCACCAAAGACCTATACAAAAACAGGCTCAGGCCAGGCTAGGGCCGAACTTTTATAAATTTTCTGTCCATCATGTGTGGGCGGGCCCGGCCTGGACCGCAAAAACGGGCCTAACATCATGTCCATACCTGGCCGTAAGAGCGGGCCGGGTAGTCCACCGGGCCGCCCGGTCTGAGAAAACTTTAATTTTTCAAAATTATATGATTTTTTTAATACTTTAATTAAAAATAATCTTACAACATTTAAAAAATTGTTAATACGCTTATAATGTTTATAGGTCTTTCACCACAAACAAAAAAATACTTGCACAAAAATAATAATGAGAACCTATATCTAAAATTTAAAATTTAAGCACAAAGTATTATCTTTAAGTACAAAAATAGATATTATATTGGTTGGGCTAGTTGTTAAGAACTTAAAATTTAAATGTAAACATAATAAACTATAAATATGCATAAAGAAAAATTAGTAAATATAAATATACATGTGTATATGTAAATAAATAAATCAGTATATATATAAAAAAAATATTTATGTATAATAAATGTAGCGGGCCGGGCTTATTGGCCCGAACGGGCCTACACCCTAACCCAAGCCCGCCCATATATTATTGTGGGTCGGGCTGGGCCCCGACCGGTGGGTAAATATATATGCCCAAGCCCGCCCATTTGTGCGGGTGGGCTGGGCGGGCCGGCCCGATTTTGTACATGTGTAAACCACCACTAGCAAATATATGTCCCATTTGTTTGTTTTCACTCTTATATCTTTTTATTTAGTCTCGCCTTAATGGATAAGTTTTCAGCTTTGCCAACTAAAAATAGAGCATATCAATAGGACCCTAATAGGCTCGGAGAGATTAAATTAAATTAATCCAAATTTAGTTTAAATGATCGAAAACATGATCTAAGGAAAAAAAGAATTTAATATGATTTTGAAGCTAGTGTGGGATTTGAATGTCGTGCATTATGTGAAACATAAATGTGCATTATTATAAATTAGAAATGTGCATTTGCATTGTGCATTGATTATTTTAATCACAGATGTGAATCATAATGTGCATTATATTGTTTTGAATCATTCTCATTTGTCTAGTTGAGAAACGTTGTCACGGGAATCAGCCAAAATTAAATATACCTCAAAAGAAGAGCAAGGATGAAAGTCACCACCGGGAGGCTGTTTGTAGTGGCAGCTGCTAATGTTGCTGAAGTATACTTCACGGCTACGCCATAGATGTTCAAACTCGCTGTAATCCTGTTCGTTGAAATAATAACATTCTAAAAAATAAATTTAATAGTCAATAAAAAAAATTCAAGTAGGACTTGAAGATTATACGTTCATCAATACAGACCCATTAGTGACCATTTTACTTCCAAAAAGATACTTTATTCTTTATTATGAGAAAATTCTTTAAATAAGAATTAAAGATAGACAGGTTTAATTTTTTCAATGAGACAATCTTTTTTTCCTCCTAAGATGAAATTCAATCACTTCTGAAAGTTAAAGTTTATTGGCTTGACCATGTAACTTCTATTTTAAGAATAAAACATATTTAATCGTATGTGTAGATTTTATTTATTTTTTATTCTAATTTAGAGCATCATCATCATCGGATGTCCACCGTCTTAATTACCTCTATACTACAGAGATGCTGTATAGGATTCCCAATGATCAATGATGAAAATCGCATCAGAATTGCATGGATTGACTGTTGTACTAAAGCATAGAAAACAACTACGTAGTATTTTTTATTGTTTTATTCTTTTATTCGTAGTATAATAGCAATGGTGAAGGTAATTAAAATAATAAAGAACCTACTTACCCACACAAGGAGATCATAAATATCTTAATGAAAGTTGTTAGCGACAGATGGGGTGCAGTCTTCCTGATAGATATTCATGACGAAAAAACGATATCATTATTAATTAATTCAATGGTACGTGATTAGTGAACGCCTGAACGGAACAGTTAAATAAGCAATAGTGTAATACGCAGTACTCACCCATACTTTAAACTTAGCTTTTCAGTTTTTTTAGTTTTTTAGTTTTTTAGTAAGGCGTATTTTAATATAAATTTGATATTAAAAATATGATTTCATATTAGAAAACATTATTACTCAAACAGCTTGATCATAATTGACAAAGAAAAGTCAATCTAACAAAGAGACGGAGGGAGTATTATGAACGGATGGCCGGCCGGCTGGACGAGGACATGGTATTCGGACGTACATACCATTCGACAATGAAGGCAATGGGAGCTAAGAAGAGAGTGGCGATGGCCTGTCTGTAGAACACAAAGATAGAGGTGTTCATGCCATCATCGAACGCAAGCTTGGAGATCAAGAACATGCCTGCATATATGGTCTGTATTACCACCACAACCAAGTATGCCTTCTTATCTCCGCCCATCGTCATATTCCTCGACCACTTACTAAAAATAGAAAGTCTAACAGAACACTATATCTCAGCGCAGCCTAGTTTCTTCACTACTCTCTCTTTCTCTATCTATCTATTTATATATAGAAAGAAATATGTTTGTTGGACTGGTCTGTAGTTAAGAATTGAAGGATATTATATATTGTACGAGTCTTGAAGATGTTGTGAGAGAGCTGAGCAAGGCATCTATCGGGCATATATATACACTACATAGCTACTACTATACATGGAGATGGGTAAGAATTGAAGCAGCCTAGCTATAAAGATTCTTCTGTAGACAAGGAGGGTACAACAACTTGGTGGCCGGTCAGGCTGGGATAATCAAGATCCTTTTCTATTAAGTTTTAATACCCCTCATCGATTCCAATTTCAAGCTAGCCACTTTTTTTAAAGGAATTTCTATCCACTTTTGTTGGGATCCGAGAGATTCGGAAAATTGTATAGTTTTTTAGAGATATATAGAATTTTTAGAAAGTTGCGGAGAATCCTAGAGAAGTCTAGATCTCTCTAGCAGTTTATGGAATATTATGGAATCCTCTAGAATATTCTGAAGATGTATGGAACCTTACGGAATTTTGAATGAATTATGATAAAAGTCATTTTGAAATATGATGAATTCAAATAATTGAATTGATGTTTATTTTTAATTGAGTTTTAAATTACTATTTCATCAATTATTCTTCAAAACTCTCCAAATCAAGAGAACTCAAAAGTTGAGCATTTAGAGGTAGATGGTTTTGGAAAGTCACGAAAGTCATCCAAAATCGCCCCTTCAATTTTATAAACTGTCAAACATGAACAGAATGGTCATAAACTCCGTAACTTTCTCCCTTCCAAATTCCAACCCCAAACACACCCGGCTATTTTGGGCGTGAACCGTGGTACTAGTTTCATGACATTTTGAGCAGTTTACACGTGCGGATTTGAGATTCAATTTTTATTTATTAGAAAGTAAAACGTCCCTGGGCTTTGCTTTTATGGCAAAAAATGGAAAAAAGCAGTTCTAATAATACTCCAAAGTCTAAAGCGGCACACCTGGATTAATCATTCACGCATGTGACTTTGAGAAATAATAATTGTCCTAAATGTCACTAATACATGCTTAGCTTGTAGGCACTTTTCTACAGTATGACCACTATCACACCATACTTTTATATTATGACAAATAATATTTACAGTCATATCTAATAAAGACGTTCATTAAACACGGCATTATTAATTTAATTAATTAGGCTCGTACGCGATTTATACTTGAGTCTCCTATAAATCTTGTAAATTTATATTTTTACAATCTTGTGAGTTATGTCCGGAATTAGCACACTTTAATTTGGTGGGAAAGTCCGCTAACTATAAGGCAAATAACCGGCAAATCCATAACCCATGTTTCCAGTTTATGAACTTTATTATTGGCCAACTATTTTATTCGTAATTCTGAATAAGGACTAGTGAATGCTGAACTAGGCAAGAATCAAAATAAAAAATTCTGGATTAAAATTCTGGAGAAGTGCCCTTAGGTTGAGAAGCTGAGAAGTCTAACTTATAAGCAAAAAATACGAACTTTTAACCAAAAAATCATAACTTATAGATCCCCCTCAAAAACATGAACTTTCTGCAAAAAAAAATTCCAGGTTTGTGGAGTTATTTTGACGCGGTGGCATTTTAATAATTTTTTGGAGGGGGTCTATAAGTTATGATTTATTGATTAAAAGTTCGTATTTTGAGCTTATAAGTTAGACTTCGCAGCTTCTCAGCCTAAGGGGGACTTCTCACATGATCTTTTATATATATATATATATATATATATATATATATATAGATTTTAGTTCTCATATATTTTTAGAGAATATGTTGTGTGTAGAGTAAAATATGCTCATATATTGTGTAGAGTACAAATTGTATCTACTTTGGGTGTTTTCTTTTGGATTGTTTTCAGTCGTAGACCAGATCAGACCAGACTAGTAGACTTCCATATTTATAAATAAACAAAGACCAAACATTTATCAGACTAGACCAGACCAGACCAGACCAAACCAAATCAGACCAGATCAGACCTAACCATACTAGACCAGTAAATTTCGATCCAAACGAAAACATCATTATATCAAAATTAATAAAGGCAATTTGTGTTCGATGGAATAAAGAATACATAAACATACGTTGAGTTCAAAAAAGTTAACTTGTTTTCATATATGCATTTCTGTAGTATTTGGATAGAGAACAAAAGGAAAATGATTTTAATTTATATCAATTTAAACTAGTTGAAATTTGAAAATTAAAAATGTTAAAAATGATGTCATGTGATAAATTTTAGTACTACATGTCTACCTCCATTATTAAGTAACTCCGATATGTTGAATTTTAGTTAGCTTTGAATACATTTTAGTTCCTCCTTCCCGCAAAGAATTTCCCGCTTTCTTTTTTAACAGTCTCAAAAAGAAGTTCTCATTTCCTTAAATAGGAAGTTATCTACATCAAAACAGTGTCAAACAGTGTCAAAAATATTGTGAAATTCCTATCATTTTAAAATTTACAATCTTAAATTTTGTTTTTTTACTAATAGAGAATAAAATATGTTGGGATAATGGGTCAGGCCCAGTGCCATCGGCCCGTTATCTCCGAGCTTAGGCCCAACTAGGCCCAGGACGCAGTCTCACGAGCGGGAGTCGCCCCTTGCTCATTTACTTATTTATCGGGCCGGTTCGTCATTAGCTTGGAGATGTATTATTAATATGGGTCAAGCCCACGTAGATTAGACTTTGGATTTATGATGAATGCCTTTAAATAGGCCATCAACCTCCCATGTATTCTCTACGCTATTTTACTATACTGAAATGCTGATAGTTTTTTTGCCCGTGATATTTTCTACCAACAAAATATATTAATGATCAATGTTGTGTGGTGGCAACGTGAAAATGAATATGTTGTATGAAAAAAATATCAGAAGTATTATATAAGATATATACTACATTATTTATAGTAAATGATATACGTAGTATATTGAACTTAAAGGCATTTTTTTTAAATAATGCTTAAAAATTTATCTTAATGCATTCATTTTAGTACTGCCTATAAGCTATGTAAGTAACGTAACAATTGTGCCAGTTATATAAAATTTTCTTCAAAAACAATCAATCATCATTTTTTTATTTTAACAATTATCACGTCAAAAGAATTTGTAAAGATACTTTGAAACACGTGACGAATAGCGTTTTTCTACGTCTTTGCCCCTAAATAATGCTTTTTGACTCGTACGCCAGAATTTTCTTTGGGCAATTCTCCGGAAAACGCTTTTCCCTATTTACCGAAAAACATTACTAGTATTTTTTTTCTTCTAAAGTCAATGCCCATTCGCCAGACCTCCACGTTTGGTCCATGTGCCAGCTAAAATGTTTCAAATTAGTTTTGAAAATAGACGAATTTGATCATTAAAGGGTTTTGCACAATTGCACCCATATATCATTGTCTCAAATAAAATGTTAAAGTTAAACTTGATCATAGTATTAATCACTACAAAAAAACAACACTATTTGCCGGTGACAAAACAACATTGACATAGAATTTGTTATGAATTTCACGCATTCGTGTCAAATCCGATCTTATTTATTTGTACTATAATGTGATGTATGAATCTACATGTGGTACTTATAAGGATCTTACGATGAGATTCATGACACTTATAACATTATCGATCAACAGTGGTATTTTTATAAATAATCATTACTTATAATAATCATTACTTATATTATTCATTGGTTAATAACACAGAGTCTACGAAAATCTACATCATGCAAAATTTTCTATTATACAAAAGCAAGAGAAATTTTGCACACTATTCCCGCTCAAAAATATCACATTAATGGGTTCGGGTCAGGTCTTTAAGTAATCGGGTCGGATTGTCCATGGGTTCAGAAACAGGCCAGAGTTCAGCACAATGAAGTTTTAATGTTGGTACAGTAACCAATGTCTCTAGTTCGCATGCTTGCTGCTTTTATTAATAAGAAAATATACAATTTGTACTTTTAAATCTGGAGAAAAGCAAATAAAATCTCCACACAACCTTGAGCCACAAAAACATTAATTGAATTGTACTATGATTAGACTTTTTTTGTACGTCTCACCCCCATTTCGAAATAAGCTAATTTGAGGATTAAATAAAGGTGTAAATTGTACTTGAAAAATCTTTGAAAGTACAAAAAAAATCCTAGAGCAAGTCTGGAGCCACACAAACATTAAATGCAATGTACTATCTTTACATTACAATAAAATGATTTTGTACGCCACAATCCCAATTTAAATATTGACTGGGAATTTATCCCTTGGCTAATACCCCTTTGGCAGAAACTGTTCTCTCCCCGGCCACTATAAATACCCAAGTGAAGGATTTTCTAGACACACCACAAACGAGCAATTCAAGATTTAGAGTTTAAACTAAACAATGGCAGGTTCATCTACAACGGGGATGTGGTCTATGATCAAGGACATTGATCACACCAAGTCTACCTGGGCTCTGAAGGTTAGGGTTGTAAGGGCTTATGAGGTGCCTCCTCACTCAAAAGGAGGGGAGACTCTCGAGATGGTTTTGCATGACGCCGAGGTACAATTTATACTTCTAACAAAAATATTTTATATGATAAAACGTCTGTTGTTAACTTTTGAATCTGTAAAATAGGGAGATCGGATTCATGCAATAACCAAGAGACCACAGATTTCCATGTACAAGACTATAATAACTGAGCACAAGATCTATGCTATAAAAAACTTCTTAGTTCTAGACAATTACCAAACAGTGAAGACCACAAATCATCCCTACCTGATTCAGTTCATCTCTAAAACCCAATTCAAGGTAGATACGAAGACAGAATTGCCTATGATGGTCTACGGTTTCCAACCTTTCGATATGCTGCACGCCCAAAGGGTTATCAACGACAAAACTCTCATTGGTGGGTAAAATCAAATTATAGACCTAACTAAATAACTTATGGAACTATGCTAACAACAGTTTCCATTCCGCTGTTTCAGATATCATTGGGAAGGTTATCAATAAAAGGATTGTTCAAACCCATATCATCAATGGGAAGACAGAAAGGCTAATGGAGCTAACTGTGGCAGACCCATAGTATTTTTTTTTTCATTTAGAAATGTTATGGGTACGAAAATAATTTGTTATGCTAATGGCTAAAATCTTTTTGAAATTACAGGGGAAACAGACTAGGCTGTGTTCTATGGAACAAATATATAAACCAGTATCAGGATTATGTTAATGAGAACCCTGGAATTGCTGTTTTTGTGATATTTCAACTGTGTAGACCCAAAAGATATCAAGGTATTACAACATCTAATTTTGCTATTTCACCAACATCAATGTATCATCAACTGTTGCTTGACAATGTTATTTACAAGCAGGCACCCTA